ATTCATCGAGACCTTTCATTTGAGTACCTACATCAATTTTTCATATATTTATATATATTTATATATATATGAATATATAAAAAATATATCAAAATGCGTGTGGGTACTCAAATGAAAGCTCTTGATGAGTGTAACATCGGGATGAGCTTATATCTTTAAAAACGTCAATAGTTAAGAAAGTACAGTGCAATTTAACCAAATTCATTATTTAATAAAGCAAAATTTTATTTATTCATAGTTCACAAGTCACGGAAGTCACATAGTGACTACAAGGTTGCTAGTTTCGAGTAAAAAAAGTTAGATTATGCGGTAAAATTATTTAAAAAATGAATTTATATAATACCAATAACCGATTTATTGAGTAGCAATAAATAATTTGTTAAATACTACTAAATATTCATTTGGTGGAAATAAATGGGCTTTAATAAATGTTTTAGTAACTAAATCCTTCTATCAGTGTATTTAATTTTTTAATAAAAAAATTAAAATATTATTTAACTTTATTTAAAAAAATATATTTTTATTTATAAAAAAAAAAAATACCCTGTCTTCCAACCGCTTAATAAAAACTAAAACTTCACATTTTTTGACAATTTTTTCCCTCGTTATTTATAAAACGCAAGCTTTTAGCTTATATATTCTTGAATAATAAAATTTCTATTCAATTATAAATAACATCCGCAAGGTTTTTATTTAAAGGCTGGATTCTATTAAATCTCAATACTTTTAATTAAATTATCGTATAAAATTTAATAGTTTATAAAAAGAATAGGTATGAGTTTTATAAAAAAAAACAAATTTTTTTTAACTAATTAATGGTTCCATTTTTGCTCGTTTGCTTTTTCAATTAAAAAACCTTTTTTCGTTAAAAGAATGAGCGCGTTGATTTAAAAATAAAAACGGATTAATAATAAAAGGGCTGACGGTTATTAAAGAGATTATTTTGCGCTAGATATAACGTTCGATAGAGCGATTTGTAATATAAATTTATACATCTATATAAATGATTAATTATAATATAGAGTTAAATGATGATGTAAAGAATAAGTTGAGGGATAGAGCAGCTATGGACATTTTAGGTTTAAGATTAGCATCGAACTTGGTACAATATATAATAGACGCAAATGTATATCACACGCTCATCAGTGTCAATACTCTCGATTCCGACATGATCGACCGCAATAGATATATAAATAATAAAAATATGATAAGCCGCTGTCAACTTATACACCGCATTCACATTATAGTCTCCGTTCTATAGCTGCTCATATTTCTCACGCTATGTAAATATATTTACTGCATTTATTTATTTATTTATTTATATTGTTTTTCTTTTTAATTTTAAATACGCTTCTGTACATTTGTATAAATAATTTTTTTTTTTAAATGAACTCTTTTAAGAGCGCATGTAAAATTCTGGTGTATTTGTGAGTGTTTTTATGGATAATTAATTTAAGACATTTAAAATTTATGTGTTGTGATCTGGTGATTAATTTATGAAAATTAAGTTAGCCGACATTAAAAAATGTTTCTAAACATTTTAGAAATTTTTTTATTGAAAAAATTCCAATTAAACAATTAAAAAAAAAATTTCACATGTAAAAAACTTGAAAAACACAAGTGCAATTTTTTATAAATCTTTTTTTTAATTGCAATTTAATTTAAAAAAAAAATCAAAAATTTTGAGATGTCGGCTAACTTAATTTTTATGATTAATTTATATTTTTAATTGTTAGGCTAAGCCTCAGGGACTGTAAATATGTTTGTCGAAATAAAATAGCTTTGATTGTCATTTAATGATACTGTAATTATAAGAATTTTAACAGTTCTTTTATTTTTACAACTAGATTATTATTAATAAAGTATAATGAATATAAAGTTAACTGACATTTAAAAATTTTTATGATTTTTTTTATTAATAAACTATAACAAAAAAAAAAATTTTTTTTTAATTTTTTTATTTGTTAAAAACTTCAAACACTATAAGTGTAATTTTTTAAAAATATTTTCTATTTGTAATTTAATAAATTAAGTAAATTAAAAAAATCAAAAATATCGGCTTACTTTATTATTAAAAAAGTATAATAGTAAAGTTAGCGAACATTGTTAATTTCTTATGAAAATTAATTTATGAAAATCAAGTTAGCCGACATTTCAAAATTTTTAGAAATTTTTTATTGAAAAAATTTCAATTAAACAATTAATAAAAAAATTGTCACATGTAAAAAACTTTAAAAACTATAAGTGCAATTTTTTAGAAATATTTTTTTAGTTGTAATTTAATTAATAAAAAAAATCAAAAATTTTTACACGTCTTTTAACTTCAGTGTCATATTAATTTAGCAGATGTTTGATAATTTAAAAAATTTTTTTAATAAATAAATTATGATCCGATAAAAATTATTAAAAAAAATTGAAATTTAAAAATTAAAAAAGCAATTTTTTAAAAATAAATTTTTGGAACAAATTTTTTTGTTAAATAAAATTAACAATTTGTCAACTGACAGCTAACTTTAATGTTATACAATTTTTTTATAATTTAGTTGTTATAAAAACAATTAACCTGTCAAATTTCTTCTGATTTCAGTGAATCATGTCGTGTAAATAATTATAAATGTCTAGAGATTACGTATGTAAGATTAAAATATTTGTAAATAAAATGGATGTAAAAACTTACCGAGTTTTATTTTTCAATCTCCTCTATTGTTTAATTTAATGAAATAAAATAAATCATTTAATTGTTCGAACTTCATTTTTAACTTGAAAACTGTCAAATATTTACTAAGTTAAAATTTATCACTAAAAGTTTATTTTAACGCAACTTTCACAAAAAAAAAACTGACACTTAAAATTTATTTAAAAAATAATTAAAACTTTACATTTAACTTCAACCGTTAACCGAACACTAAACTTTATAACTGCGCATGCGTGACTTAAAATTAAAAAAAAAATTTTTTTTTTTTAAAACTTTTAACACTTTTTACCAAAAAAAACTAGCACTTGAATTTTATTTATAAAAAAATTAACACTTCACATTAAACTTCAACCGTAAACGAACACAAAATTTTAAAACGGCGCATGCGCGACTTACAACTAAAAAAGAATTTTTTTTTTTATTCTAATTGATTTAAAAAAAAAAAAACTTATAAAATTAACAGCTGATTAATAATGACACTGAAGTTAGCAGACGTCTAAAAATTTTTGATTTTTTTTTATTAATTAAATTACAACTAAAAAAAATTTTTCTAAAAAATTGCACTTATAAATTTTTAAGTTTTTTGCATGTGACAATTTTTTTTTAAGTTTTTTTAATAAAAAATTTTGAAATGTCGGCTAACTTAATTATAAAAATTAAGTTAGCCGACATCTAAAAATTTTTAGAATTTTTTTTACTGAAAAAATGATTATAAAAAAATAAAAAAAAAATTGTCACTTGTCAAAAACTTTAAAATCTGTAGGTGCAATTTCTTAAAAATATTTTATTCTTCTAATTTAATTTAAAAAAATAAATCAAAAAATTAAAAATGTCGGCTAACTTCATTATTATACTTAATTTTCATGATTAATAACTTTAATATCACTCAAAATTTATTTAAACACTTAACTTTCACAAAAAACACTTCATTTAACTTAAACCGTTAACCGAACACAAAACTTTACAACTGCGCATGCGTGACTTGCAATTTAAAAAAATTTATCAAAAAAATTTTTAATTTTCATTAATACCACATTCTTAATAATTTAATTAAATTTTTTACTATTTATTATTATTATTAATATAATAATAATAATATTATTTATTATTATTATTCATACTTGACTTAAAATAAAACTGTCAATCAAAAAAAAAAAAATTAAAAATTTATTTTTAACGCGGCTTATAGAAGGTTCCGTCTTTATCGAAAGTCGGCAGCGGAGTCGGCGCCTCTGCGCGGTGCTGCTTAATTTATAGCTCCTACGGCGCCTCCTATTGGTCCGAAGGCTCGCGCGGCTCTCATTGGTCCCCCGGTCTTGCACGCTTCCCATTGGTCCGCGGGCTCGTTCGGAGAGAATTCAAATTTGCGCTTGATATTTATCATTTTAATTCAATTTTTTTATTAAAATACTAAATAAATATTTATTAAAAAATTATTTAATAATTATTAAATAATTTTTAAGTAAAATTTGTTAGTAAAATAATTTAATTTATAATAAAAAAAAATATTTTTAAATTTGACGGTTTAAATCTGTTATTTTTCTCCACCAGAGCGCAGCACTAAAGGAATTTCTTTGATGTTTGTTTACTAAAAAGCCGGATCGCGTGCAAGTAAACTCGCGGAATAAAAATAATAAATTAATTAAAAAAAGTAATTATGGATAATTTTCATAAAATAGAAAAAATAGGAGAAGGTACCTATGGAATTGTCTACAAAGCGCGGGATAAAATAACTGGCAAGATGGTTGCCCTAAAAAGAATAAGACTGGCGACGTAAGTTTGCCGGAAATTGTTTGTCAATTTTAACAATTGTTATTAACAATATTTAATAATTATTTTTTTTGCTTATCAGCTGTTATAACAAGAGAAGTATTGTTGCTTGCGGTGACGCTAACTAATAAAACGCATTAAGCTAAGTTGAATCTCGTGGAGTTATGCTTTGTTTTTGGTCATAGCACCACATCATTCAGCTTATTTTATTGCGCCCTCGCCTTTGTTCTTTTAATTTTTATAATTATTTTATTTTATTTCATTAATTAATGCTAAAATTTTATGACACTGAAGTTTGCAGATAATTATTAATTAAATTACAACTAAAAAGATATTATTAAAAAATTGCACTTATAGTTTTTCAATTTTTTTTATGTGACAATTTTTTTTTTTAATTGTTTAAGTGAAATTAAAAAAAAAAATAATTTCTAAAAATTTTGAAATGTCGGCTAACTATAATACTAAAGTTAGCCGACATTTTCTATTTTTTATTTATTAAATAATAACTAAAAAATATTTTTAAAAAATTGCACTGATAGTTTTTCAAGTTTTTTACAAGTGAAATTTTTTATTTTCTTCAATAAAAAAAATTTCTGAAAGTTTTTAGATGTCGGCTAACTTAATTTTCATCGGCTAACTTCATTATCATAAAATTTTTGCCTTTTATAAATTAATTAAATTTTAATATTACGGCGAAAAAAAAAAAAGTTTCATTAATTATAAAATAGAATTATTAATTATAAATCTTAATTTTTTAAATTGTTAAAAATTTAATTTTAATTAAAAAATTTTTTAATTTGTTAAAAATTTAATTTTCTAAAAATAATGTCAATTTTTTTATACAACCAATATTTTATCTGTAATTCCAAAATTAACATTCATAATTAATTATATATTTTTAAAGACATATTTAATTACATATTTTTGAACAATTGCATTTAACAATTTTTAAATTTTTTCACAAGTAAGAATTTTTTATTTATTTTTTTGTAATAATTTATTCATTAAAAAAAAATTCTAAAAATGTTTAGATTTTGGCTAACTTAATTTTCATAAAAAAAAATGTCTAATAATTTTTTTAAGCAACCAATATTTTTTCTGTAATTCGAAAATTATAATTCATAATTAATTATTAATTATAAATCCGATTTTAATAATCTGTTGGGTTATCTGCGAAATTAATTAATAAATCAATTTTTTGGTAATTATAAATCTTAATTTTAAAATTAAATTTTGAACAATTTTTATTTAAAAAAATTTTTTATACGACTGATATATTCTCCGTAATATTAATAATTAATTGTTATTTTTAAATTAAGGCAAAAATTCTGCATCTGTTAATTTTTTTTTTTTAATTTTATTTAAATAATTAATTAATTAGAGAAACTGAAGGCGTACCATCAACAGCCATTAGAGAAATTTCTCTCCTAAAAGATTTGACACACCCGAATATTGTCCAATTATTTGACGTAGTCATCGGCGATGTCAACAAGGATCTGTACCTGGTGTTTGAGTATTTGCAGCAAGATTTAAAAAAATTCTTAGACTCTATGAAGGTCACTAGCATCAATGCGATGCACTGGAGTATGTTAGTCAAGGTAATTTTTTTTTTTTTAATTTTTTTAATAAATAGCAACTTTGCAGTCACTATGTAACTGCCGTGACTTATGAACTAATGATAAATAAAATTTTGCTCTATTAAATAATGACTTTTGTTAAATTGCACTGTACTTTCTTAAATATTGACGTTTTTGAAGATATAAGCTTATCTTGATGTTACACTCATCAAGAGCTTTTATTTGAGTACCCACATGCATTTTTGATATATTTTTGATATATACATATATATAATATATATAAATATATGAAAAATTGATGTGGGTACTCAAATGAAAGGTCTCGATGAATGTGACATCAGGATGAGCTTATATCTTTGAAAATGTCAACAGTTCTCAGAATACAAGGTAATTTCTTAATTAATGACATTTTTAAAGATATAAGCTCATCTTGATGTTACATTCATAAAGAGCTTTCATTTGAGTACCCGCATGCATTTTTGATATATTTTCCATATATACATATATATATAATATATATAAATATATGAAAAATTGATGTGGGTACTCAAATGAAAGGTCTTGATGAGTGTAACATCAGGATGAGCTTATATCTTTAAAAATGTCAATAGTTCATTTCTTAATTATGTATTCTGGAGACAAAATTTTTATTATTCTCTTAATAAAGATAATTTAATAAAACAAATTTAATTTTTATAAATTATATTTAATAATTTTCAGAGTTATTTGCACCAATTACTAAAAGCCATATCCTTCTGCCACAAGAACCTGATCCTTCATCGCGACTTGAAGCCCCAGAATCTTCTGATCGACGATGAAGGTCACATCAAGCTAGCAGACTTCGGTCTAGCTCGATCATTCGGCCTGCCAATGCGAATGTACACCCACGAAGTAGTAACTCTGTGGTACCGAGCTCCCGAAATATTACTCGGTACCAAACTGTACTCCTACGCCGTCGACATCTGGAGTCTTGGTTGTATCTTCGCTGAAATGGCAACCAGACGAGCTTTGTTTCCCGGAGATTCGGAAATAGACCAGTTGTTTAAGATTTTCCGGACTTTAGGGACTCCAGATGAGACTATTTGGCCCGGAGTATCTCAATTACCGGATTATAAGTCAATGTTCCCTAAATGGGACTCTAGAGACTTGGATGAAGTCGTTCCTAACTTTGATACCAATGCTAGAGATTTATTTATGGTAATTAATCACTTTTTTTTTCTTTTTTAATTAAAAATTAAGTAATTTTTTAATTAAAATTTTTTTAATTTAATTTTTTTAATGAAATTATTTTAATTTAATTTTTTAATTTAAAAATTTTATTTAATTCTTTAATTTAATAATAATATGATTAAATAAAATTTTTTTTTTTTTAAGTAAAAATTAAGTAATTTTTTAATTTAATTTTTTAATTTAATAATTTTTTTAAATAAAATTATTTTTATTTTTATATTTAATTAATTTATATTAATTATTCCAGAAATTATTGACCTACGACCCAAGCAAAAGAGTAACAGCAATGAACGCGTTGAGCCACCCGTTTTTTGATGATGTTAAGCTGATAAGTCCGTTGATAGTGAAGAAAGAAATAAAGTCTGAATGACATTTGTCGGGGAGCGTATGTTTTTATATTTTTTTTTTATATAAATTTTCTAATTCTCTTTATGTGCATCCTGATAATAATTCTTTATTTAATAAGTTTAAGAGTAAGTTAACAATAATAAATAATAATGATAATCATATACAGGATTTTTGCCTTTAAAATAACAATTAATGGTAAATTTTTGATATTACTGCGGATATCGATGATTTTCTAACGCAACCTCGTATCTCAAAAATGACAATTTTAGAGATGAGGTCAAAAATAGTTTATAAAAAATTAATATTTATCTAAAAACAATATTAATTGTATTTTCTAAAAATACTATCATATTTATTATTAATCTGGTTAAAATTTTTTTTTGTAACGCGTTTATAATTAATTATTAATAATTAATTATTAATTATTAATTAGAGTCAATCAGAAAGCCGTAATTAAAAAATTAACATTTTTATAATTATCAAAAAAATTGAATTAATAATTATGAATCTTAATTTTTGATATTACGGCCATAATATTGGTTGTAAAAAAAAATCATAAGATTTTTTTTTTTTTAGAAAATTAAATTTTAAACAACTTTTTTTCTAAGCTCGATATTTTAACCGCAATATCAAAATTTAAATGATTAATTCCTAAAAGCCAAAAATCGTGGCCTTAATAATAATAATAATTATTATTATTATTATAAATTATTATAATAATTATAATTTATTTATTATATTAATAATAATTATAATAAATTAAGCAAGTCTCGCACGATTGGTAAGAGTTTGAGGTTCTAACTTAGGAAACTTGACAGTCTCTCGTTGCTCTAACAAAACATCTGGCAAGGTTTGAGCTATAGAAGGAAAATGAACAGTCGGAGATGATTTTCGTGAGCTGCTAGAACTAGAGTTGGACAAGTCTAAACTTGGAGGCCGTGATTTAGGCGACTTGGGAGCCATTCGTGGAGTCTGGATCGCTGGTTTAGATAAAGTCGCCGTCAACGCGCGGACTGTTGTTGGAGGCTCAGTAGGTGTCGATGGCTGGGTCTTGGGTGTTTCCGGTGACTTGGCTATCAGACTTGTTCGTAAGGCTTCAGGTGTCACTGGGGTTATTGATGTTGGACGAATTCTTGTTGGCGTTGATGGCGGTGGATTTGGATCTTTTTCCTTTGAAAAATTCTTTTTTTTAGTTTTTTTATTATTATAACTAAGGAGGTAATTTGTGAAAGTGACGAAAATCGTGCGTAGTTTTAAAGATTGTCTGTAAAAATTAAAATTTAGCTTTGATAAGTTGACAAGTATTTAATGAAATTAAAGTTAGCAAACATTTAAAGTTGAAAAAACAAATTTTTTTCAATTTTATTTTTAAATAATTTATTTAAAAAAATTTTTAAAATTAAAAAATGTCTGTTAATTTTAATTTAATAAATATTACTTATACACTGATAGAAGGATTTATTTATATTAAATAATCTTCATTAACTGTTAATAAATAATTTTTTAATATCATAGGATTTAATAATGACTTTTGTTAAATTGCACTGTCTTTTCTTAAATATTGACGATTTTAAAGATATAAGCTCATCCTGATGTTACACTCATCAAGAGCTTTCATTTGAGTACCCACATGCATTTTTGATATATTTTTCATATATACATATATAATATATATATATATATATATATATATAT